TAACCGAGAGTAATTATATTTTGAAGCCAAATAGTCAATCATGAATTCATAATATAAAATATGGAGTATAATACTATACTATACTATACTATACTATACTATACTATAATATTAATAATTGTATTCAAAAAATAATATTGTAAAAAGGAAATTTTGCGAACAGCAACTACCATTTAAAAAACCACTTTTGAGAACAACTACCATTTAAAATTTTCTTTTAAAAAAACTACCACAAAAACACAAAAAATTGAGTAGCACTACCACATTTATTGTTTTCGGCAAGAATCTCCGTTTTTGGGGCATATTTTATAAAATTTCCCTCAAAACACCCAAATTATATGACAATATTGCACTTCATTAACCCTTAATTGGATTATACACTTCAATTGCCCCAAATCCCCCAATTTCGTAAAGCCTTAATTCAATTTTTTGACCATAAACCCTAAATTTAAGATTTAATTGAGAAATTAAATAAACTATAATGCAAAATTAAAGATAGTTGAGCTATGATTGTGTTTACCATCGAAATCTCTTGTTTTCCATACCACAATTGATTGAAATTTTATAAACTAGGCTTTTTCAACCGGAAATTCTTGCCGGAAAATAAAACGTGGTAGTGCTACTCAAAGTTCTTGTGACTTTGTGGTAGTTTTTTTAAAAGAAAATTTTAAATGGTAGTTGTTCTCAAAACTGGTCAGTTAAGTGGTAGTTGTTGGCAAAATTTCCTTATAATAATTTAAGGTAAAAAAAAAAAGAATATGATGTCGACAATTAATTTAGGCGGGAAAAATTCTAACAACATCATGACATGTGTACAATTTTTAAAAGCGATGATGATTTATAGATAGATAGATTGATTGATTGATGAAAAGTTGATAATTTTGGTGTGTTTATTTTAGTGATAATAATTTTGATTTGTGGGTAGTTATTAGTTTTTGTTTCGTTTTATTATTTGAAAGAATAGATAATTTAGGGCTTGTTTGGCATCGTTTTTTGTTTTCAGTTTCATATTTTTTAAAAAACTAAGAACCAAAAACAGGAAACAAGAAAAAGGTGTTTCCACTTTTCTGTTGTTAGTTTTCAAAATTATCCTGATTTTAATAAATTTATTAAATAATTTTTTATTTATTATATGATATATATCATTTTAAAAAACAAAAAAACAGAAAACCACAGTGATGCCAAACGAACCCTTTTTTTTTTGGGAGCAGTTATGATTTTTTTCTCTAGAAAAAAATTAATTAGTTAATACGTAATTTTTTAAATTGAGAAGAACATTTTGGGAAAAGACAAATTTATCACCCAAAATGCCCTTTCTGATATATTACTTCCTCCGTTAAATGTTAATTGCAACAAAGAAATATTTTATATCTTACAAATATACCCTTTTGTTGCAATCATTACATACTACTAAAAGCGAATTTTAAGGGACACTAGGCAATGTATTATCAAAAAAATTCCCGCCAAAATTATTTTCTTAAAAAATAAAATCATTGCTATATAAAAATAAGGTTACATTTAGATTTTGACTTTTATTTTATATAAAATCTAATAGCATCTCCTATGGTTTATAAAAGGGACTTGCGTGCAAATTTTAAAAATATCAAAACTGTAGCTTGACCATTGGAACAAAGTTGACATACTTGTTTGGAAGAGCAACACTGCTTGGAAATTTTCAAGATTTATATATTATTTTAAAAAATTGGAGAGTGGTATGCACGGTTAATGGAGATGCTCTACGTGATCTACAATGGCTCAAAAGATAATGCAACAACCTTTTCTTTTCTTTTTTTTTTTCTTTTTTTTCTTATCTTTTTCTAAAAAAAAATTACATTTCAAAATCAAATTTTCATCTTTATCAGAAGTTTTAATTGACAAACTCTAGCTGATGTTGACTAATGTGCTTCCTAGCTTATAGGTTATATGTATACTTTTTTATTCTTTTTCTTAAAAAATTTACAAAAATTCATTCGTAAGATTCACTTGTACCAAAAACAGACTCTCCTCCTTCTCTCTAAAAACTAAAACAGATCCCCCTCAAACTACCCCTGCCGCCGGCGGCCAGAGCACCTGTGCTCAACCAAGGTCGTCGGCGAACATTTCTTGACGACCTCGGCGACTATTTAGGTGCGACTCCTCCTAGTTAACCCAAACATTCTAATTTTTATTGAAGAAAAGTTAGGGTTAGGGTTTCGGATTTCGATTTTGGGGGAACTTTTTCGATCTTCTACTTTTCCAGATCGAAGCACTAGTGTTTGGCTGTAATACCGCTGTTGTTCGGGGTGGTGTAGGTGCAGCTAGCGGCGCATCTGACGGGGTTCTGCGGCTCTGCCAAGGTGGTCTTTATAATGGTCTCTCTGGTATGTCTTGTTTGGTTATGGAGAAGCTTGTTTTTCCCTATGTTTATCAGTTTGAACTTTAGTTTCTAGTTGTTTGGTATTTAAAGCTTGTCTTAGTTTTAAGTTTTTATGGATAAGTTTGAAGAACTTAGGGGGATCTTGTGTATTGCTCATGTTAAAGAAGATGATATATCTTCACATAAACTAGAGCTTTTAGTTGGAAAGTTGGAGAATCCTTATGGTATTCTGGAATTTGTTAGGGGTTTGAAAGATGATGGTAATGCCTTCTACAAACAGTGTAATATGGGATTAGCGCTTACTAAATACTCTCTTGCACTCAAGCTATTATCTTTTGTTACGGTGGGTAATGATGAAGATAAATCAGTTTTTTCGAGCCTAGCTGTGTCTCTTAATCTGAACTTGGGTGCTTGTTATGTCAAAGAGGAAAACTTTGACAAGGTGGGTCAGTTGTGTTATGCAGTTTTGTGTTATGATACTTCTAATGTGAAAGCTTATTTTAGAAGGGCGGTGGCAACTTTAGGGCTCAATAAACCCGAATTAGCTTTCATGGATCTTGCACAAGCAATTAGGATTGATCTCAGCAATAGAGAGTTTCAACAAAAACTCAATGAGGTGATATCTTTATTGGGTTGGTCTTCGGATTTTGTTAATGAGGCACTTGCAGTTACAAGAGAGGATAAAATGTTTAGAGATTATGCTAAAATTGGGAAAGAAGAAGAAAAGAGGAAGTTAGGGGAAAAAGGGAAAAGAAAGGAAAGAGATGGTAGTGGAGATGGTTGTGTTCGTAGGTGTATTGGTGTAAAAGATGTCACCAAAAAGGAAAAGGATGTTGCTGGCAAATCTTTGAATTCGGAGGAGGGTAAAGTTAACCCTATTGATCAAGATCGAAGGCCCAACATTATTGATAACAATTTTGATCTGAAGTCAACTTCAGAAACAAAAAACCCAAATCTTACAGGGTCAAGTTATCGGTTTTGTAACCGAAAACGTATTGATTCCTATTTGCATCTCACTCCAACAATGTATGGAGCGATTTCTAAAGGACAGACACTACACTACTATTGCTCTTCTAAGAAGGATTTTATTAGCATCCGAGTACTCGATCCTCCAAAGAAGATGGATTGTGTTGAAACTCAAGAAGTTTTTACACCAATGGAGATTAGTCACCCCCCTGTGAAAGGGCATGATAGGTGTGAAGCAACTCCAAATTTGGCACAAGATGATTTGACCATAGGTATGGTTGATCAAGTGTCATCGTGTGAAAGTACGTCGTTGCCCCTTCCAATTGCTCCAGTCTACTCCTCGTTGAAGTCTGCTGCAAGCCCCAACAACCCCTCTTCTCAGAATTTGAAGTTATTGGTTTCTATTTGTCGTTACAGAGCTAGAAGGAAAAGTCAATCTCTAAGAAGTTTAACTTCTTCTATCTTTACTAACCCTTTGTTTTGCAGGATGAGTGGCTCAAAAAGGAAAGCGTCTTATCCCACCGAACTCCTATGGCTTCCGAATAGAAAGTTGTTATATGGTTCTACCCCTAATGTTCTAGCGTGTACTTTAGTTTATGATTAATTTAGGGTTTTGCTGTAGTAAAAAAAAAAAAAAAAAAAAAAAAAAAAAAGAAAAAAGATTCACTTGTACCTAGATTGTACAAGATTATAGGTATTTTAAAATTTAAAATTTTTTATTACGTTATATATGATAACAAATTAGACTTTGTCAATAAAAGATTTTGCCAAAATTTTACATATTTAACTTTGAATTATTAGCTAATACATCTATAAATAAGTTATTTAAACTTAAGAATACAACCAGTATATGTTTCATAAAAACATAATCTACAAATACTTTCATATCTACAAAATAGCAATGAAATTTTCAGCTCATGTAGTGTAGTAAATAAAATATTACATGCAAGCTACAAATTTATATAGCCAACCATTGGAGTACTTTGTAGCTTGCAATAATGATGTGGCAAATCAAGCAACAACTTCTTGTAGCTTGCCATTGGAGTACTTTGTAGCTTAAATAGGTTGTAGCTTTAAAAATTAACATGGCAAAGCAAGCTACAAGCCTTTATAGCTTACCATTGGAGATGCTAGTAAATCTCTTAAAATATCAACTTGCACATTATTACCATTGCATATTTAAAGATTTTTTCTTCTCCGTAACAGGTATATTTTTATTGATTTAATATGTATTTAATGCGTTTTAATATTGGGTTAATCAATTCAATTATTTTTTTATAATTATATTTTTATTATAATTATTCAACATCCGTGCATTGCACGGGATTTTACGTAGTTAACATTTAACGGAGAAAGTACTATAGATTAGCTTGATCCTTAAAATACAAAAACCATACAAAACCACATCAATTCGCCTAAAAACACCTCACAACATATCTAAATTTAAATACAACACATCAATCCCTTACTTATCCAGTATATCCAACTAAACTTAATCTTAAAAGTTCACTATCAATACAAAAACACATCAATTCACCTATAAACACCTCACAAGTTCACAACCTATCTTTTTTTTTTGAAGCCAACAACCTATCTAAATTTGAATCAATTCCACATGTTATTTATTTATTTATTATTTTTTATTTTATTTTATTTTTTTTACATCCCATCATTATCCTTTAATTTCCATCTCAAATTTATCAAAAAAAAAAATCCATCTCAAAAAAAGCAAAATTCCAATCATGTTCCCTAACCTTAAACACAAACACAAATAAAGATTTTTTATTTATATTTTCCAAAATTAGTTTCTCAAATCCACAAAAAATAATTTCTTCCTAAAAACGTGTCAACACCGCTTTAACCGCTCTCTCCTCCCCTTCTCTCTCGCCGACTTTTTTCGCCCTCCGCCCATCACTCCTTTCTCACTCTTATCTTCTTCTTCTTCTTCTTCTTCTTCCCCCTTTTCCCCAATTTCCCCCAAATTCCTCCCAACATAAACCCTAACTTCCCATTTCACCTCAGATCATCCAATTTCACTTCGATTCTTCATCCTTTTGAATGTTCAACTCATAATATTCTGTTGGGTGTAATCAATTTTCCTGGGGTGGAGAGAGGAAGGAGATATTTTCCCCCAAATTCCTCCTAATATAAACCCTAACTTCCCCATTTCACCTCAGATTATCAAATTTCACTTCGAGTCTTCATCGTTTTGAATGTTCAATCCATAATATTTTGTTGGGTGTGATTAATTTTTCTGGGGTGGAGAGAGGAAGAAGAGGATTGAATTCGGCGGCGAATGTCGGTTGAGAGATCGTTTGAAGCTTGGGAAGAGGTGCAGCGACACGGCCAAGACTTGGCTGATAAGCTAGCACAAGGTTTTACTGGGTTGATTCAATCTCATATTGCGCCGCCTTCATTTGCGTGGCCTAATCCTCCGAGTACTAAGCTTTTCGATGTCGAATTCGAGTTTCCTACCCAGAATTTTGTGCCCAGGGATTTTGGGCTTGCAATTGATAATTCTGGGATTACTGGGATTTTTGATATAGGGAATAGGATAGGGCAAGCTGGGGCTGATTTTGGGGCTTGTGTTAATGGGTTGGTTCAGCAGTTTTTTCGGTTGATTCCGGTGCCGTTTATGCCTAATGATAATGATAAGGGTATGGTGAAGCTTCATCATGCTGATAATGGCGGGGAGAGGAGTGATATGAGTATATTGGTTAGGGAGGAATTGGGTTCATTGGCAGAACAATGGGGGGATTTAAGGTTTTCTGAGAAATCCGAAGCCGGCGTCGATGGAGTTGCTGATGAAGAGCTTTCGGGGTTTAACCTTAAAATTGCTGGTCTTTTCGGTAAATCTCAGGTATAAACCACTGTCTATGATATATTGTCTATGTTTACTTATAGTTTTGATTTGATAATTTGGAAGGAAATTCATTTTGGGTTTCTTTTTACATTGATATAATACTTGAAGTTACACTGTTTGCAATGTCATGTTATAAACCACTGTCTATGATATATTGTCTATGTGTGAGTGTGTCAAATTATTTTATTTATTTTAGAAAGAATAATTTTTATTCAATTAAGATAAGTTCGATAATATCAGACCAAATAAGTTCAAAGAAAATAAATTCTGACAAAAAATTTTGCTGCAATAAATATAAGTTTTGCACTATAGTTTTGACACACTCACACATAAGTTATGCTACAGTGATGATAAGTTCATACAAGTTTTCATATAAAACATAATCTCATTTTATTCTCGATTCTTCTATAAGCACACATGATACGTAAAAATGTATGTATGCTGCTCTGTCTTGGTTCTTCACGTTGTCTCTGAAACATCTTATTATTTGTGTATTTAGGGGACTGTAAATGTTACATCTGCTTATGACAGTAGAACTCGCGACATTCAAAGCTCTGTTGTTGCGCGTGGTGATCTATGGAGACTTGAGGCATCAAGTGGTAGCTCTACATCAGGAACTCATAATTCGTCTTTGTTTCTGGTCCAGCTTGGACCTCTTCTCTTTATTCGTGATACAACACTTCTTTTGCCAGTTCATCTATCCAAGCAGCACTTGCTTTGGTATGGTTATGATAGGAAGGTGCGTTCTGATCTTTGTCTGTATCTTGCTTATAAAACATAGTTAATAAGGTGAATCTAAATACATTATTGCTATGAAACTACCCTGTCATAATAATCTATAAATCACAATTGGGTTTTCTTTCCTCGCTTTAAAAAGCAATCTTGTATGTTGCATAATGATATTAATCTTTCTGCTTCATGAGGTTTGTCAATATGCCTCAATGCTCCAAAACAAGCCATTTAACCTGATTTTGATCCATTTCTTCATCATCTCTATTTCTAACTTTGATTCAGAATGTTTAATTAATTAAAAGTGGATGAAATATATTCTTAAATGATTTATAAGCATTCTTGCAAAACTTTTGATGCATCTCTATCTAACCTACTCATAAAGCCTTGACTTGAAATCTTTTTTGAGCTTTTGAAATTATGGTTCAACTTAATTAATTCTAATCAACTATGGATTTGTTACACTATTAATAGACTACAGGTGCAAGTTGCCTTTGGCTTGAAAAAAGAAGGGGGGTGGGGGTGCGGGGTTGCTCATTCATTTGCAGCCTTAACCTTGTATTAGAAAGAAAAGGTGTTAGATTGACCCTTCTACCATCAATATGCCTAGATATGTATGATTATAGGTTTTCTCCGTAACAAGTTTCTTTTACTTTTCCAGATGGATTTTAATTGCCTATATGTTGCATTTGTTTTTAGAATGGTTTGCACTCCCTATGTCCAGCAGTATGGACTAAGCACAGAAGGTGGCTTTTGATGTCAATGATCTGTCTCAATCCTTTGGCTTGTGTAAGTTCAACTCTTCTGGCATAAATTTGAAGGCATTTCATATGAGATGTTACATTTGTTGTATTTTGAAGGGTTTTAATTCCTCCAAGACGTAGTTAACCCTACCTTGTTAAGTTGCTATTTTACTTTAAAGCATCTGTCATCTCTTATATTTCTCCTGTAAGACAGCACATGGTTAAAGAAGAGGTTTCTTTGTATGTCAGGAGTAAGGAAAAGAGGATTGAGTATTGTATGAAAAATAATGGAATGCAGTAGTTTTTGTATTGTGATTTTTTTTTTGTGATTGCCCTTGCTAGCTTAACAGGATTCACGGGCTCTGTGTTACTTAGTTATTCATTTTTGTACACAAGTGTTTTTGAAAATTGCAGCTCAATTAGCATAAAAGGTAAAACCAATGTTACTTTTTTATTTTTTTGGTAAGTAATATATTAAACAAAGGAGAATGTACATAAAAAACGGGAATTCTCCTAGGGAATCTCCCTAACAACAACCAACAAAATTAGGACAAAACAAATCCAAAACAGATCCTCTCCCAAGAAGACAAGCTCAACAAAAACAACCAAACCCCAAAACTACAAACTATACAAATTATACAGACTTTTTTAGGCTATAAAAACTATTTGCAATCAGCTGCAGTCCATCTCTTATCAATTAAATGTTGAATTCTCCAGCAAACTTCAGCTTTAACCCTCTCCACAGTCCAGTCAGGAGAGTAAACAGCCTTCAACCAGAATGCAGTATTCCTTGCAAAACAGATGTCGTGCACCAAAGCAGTCAGGACAGCAAAACCAACTTTTCTCTGCTTCCCTGCTTTGAATTTAAGATATTATTATAAGCAGTAATGTATTCTTGTTAGTTTAGTGATATGGTGCAACAGAATGTGTACATAACACCACTAGTTGTCATTTTAGTTAGAGTTGCTTTTTTAAATTGAGCAATGACATCATTCAAAGAACTTAGGTGAAGAAAATTGAAGTTGTAGTAGATTTTTTGTACTGAACAAATCACTTGTCCCTGAATGTAACGACAAGTTTGCATCATCTCTTTATGACCTTATGCTGATTAACAGTAGTTTGCTGGTAATTTATTTTGTAAAATTAATATATTTCCCCTCATTTTATTTATGTCATGAGATGGGACATGGAAACTATGAACCGATGCCTAAAATTGAGCGAAATGGTTTTCTCTATAACTTTTTTGTAGTTTGCACAAAACATTGTGTATGAGCCAACAGTATACTGTATACTCTATATGGTTAAAGGTATTTGGTGATAAGAATCCGTGCTTAATTTTGTACTTGTAAGATGACTTAGATCCATGGTTTATTACTGGAGCGCCATCAAGATCTTTTACTCTATGGTTTATTACTTAATTCATTTGTTGTAATGAAGCTTATCTTGTCTTCTCGGAAAATTTTGTTATTAGGATGTCTTTTGTTACAGTCCCTGCTATTGGATGAATTGTGTACATGAAGGATGGTTAGTGTGTTTAATGCTGTTTATTTTAAATATTCTCTAAAATTTTCCTTTATGTGCTTTGCCTTGCAGTCATTCATGGATCTACAGTTTCCAAATGGGCAGCTTACTTATGTAGCAGGGGAGGGACTAACCACTAGTGCATTTCTTCCTATTTGTGGGGGTTTGCTTCAAGCTCAGGGTCAATACCCTGGTGAAATGAGGTTCAGTTTCTCTTGCAAGGTTGGTTAGAGGCCTGTTCAACACTATTTTGCTTTTTCTCCCATTTATTCTTTAAATATCCTGTTTTCTTCAGCTGGTTTCTTATTTATTTTATTGGTGTTTGCAGAATAAATGGGGAACACAAATTACTCCAATGATACAGTTGCCTGATAGGTCATTTACACTTGGTTTTGCACAAGACTTGGCTTGGAAGCGTTCCGGTCTCTTGGTGAGGCCAACCATTCAATTTAAGTAAGTATGAACTTCCTTGTATCCTTACACTTTCCCTCGTGTTTTCATTCTTTTCAGGTTCTGTCTAATTTCAAGTGAAATCTGATTATGGTTTTCATGCTGTACTACCTCTATCTTAGGATTATAGCTTCATGTACCGAGGCTTGGTTTGTCAATGTAGTGCTGATTAGGGTGATTAAACCGATAAAATGTTTCACTTTTCCGATAATCTGATGGCGTCATGTTGGATTTTAGACATGAAGATTGGCACTGTTGTATTTTTTCACTTCTACAGCTTTGGGCCCAAATCATGGGATTTGTCATTATATCTACTAAAATACCTCTACTTTTATTTGTTAGTCTATGTCCTACCTTTGGTGGAAGTGATCCTGGTGTACGGGCAGAACTTGTTCATTCAGTCAAGGATAAGTTGAATCTCATTTATGGGTGTTCGTACTCAACATATTCGTCAGCATTTGCATCTGTATCTGTAAGTTGCACAATGACCTTTGTTGCTTTATCTATTTAATTCTTGCCTTTTGCTGCATAGCTTTCATTTTAATGCCCTTTTTCCTTGGTCACATTTTGAAATTCAGCTTGAGGTCCTTTTAATATCTGTATCCTTGCACTTTTGGTGATGGTACTGAGTGCAAATGCATTTTCCAGTATATTTTTGTGAATGCATAAAACGGGTTAAGTGACTGAGAGATTGAGAGGTATAAGTGTAATTTTGTAGTAGGTTCTGCAACTATCCTATGATCTTTTCATGTTTCATGAAGTATGTATGTGGCTATGATTGCTTCATTTAGTTTTCCCCTAACTTTCTCTTCAGCTATCATTGCTTTTTTGAATGCTAGTGCTAGAACATTTTTATAAGAAGTATCTCAAATAATAATTTGCCTCTGTATTAAAATATTATGAAAGAATTTGCATTGTTTTCATTCTCCCATAAAGGATAAAATACTAGCTTGTGTACATATTTTTGATGTAACCCTAGTGCCCTTGAGCTTTTGGTCAGACAGTTTTGATCCTCTTTTTTCATGAAGAGTTTTTGCTTTCACTTTTAGTGTGTGTGCTCTTTGCATAAAACTTATTTTAACAGTTGGAGCTGAATTTATTGTATCCATGAATTTAACTTGTTTTTACTGTTTTCTGAATTGATCTTAAATTTTTGGAACTTATGTGAACTAATTTATTTATTTATTTGAAACTTTCATAAAAGGTGAAAAGAATACACTGTTAGTATGTGCATATTTGAACATTAAACCTTATGTGATTACAATTGTATGAAATTATTTTTATTACTATTATACTACCAATTATACATTCATAATTTCATATTGTCAGTTATGGGTTTTCTTAAGATCTAGCAATATGTGAAGTTTTGCATGGCATGTGAAAGTTTTCATCTTATCTTAAAATTCAATTGATTATTGAGTTACAAATGTAAATTCAGATTAAGATGACTTGTGGCTGGACACGATACTCTTTCTCTTATGCAAAGTCTTGTGAAATCGTCTATTTTGGCTCATATATTTACATTTTTTTTTCTGCTGCGAAATTTCAGCTTGGTAGGTCTAAGTGGAATGGGAATGTTGGAAGCACTGGGATTGTCCTGAAAGCTGAGACTCCTCTCTCAAATGTTGGCAGACCTGCGTTCTCTGTACAACTGAACAGTGGCATCGAGTTTTAGCCCCTCCATGCCACATCATGTATTAACTTGAACTGTATATAGTACCACACTTGTAACATACCTTACAGCCACCTGTAAATATCGACATTTCCGTAAATACTGGTACATTGGTACCTTGTATTATCTAAGGATCCATATTATGTCTGGATTCTGAAATTTTGTGGAACTGTCTTCTCATACTTGGAAATGTTTGGAATAATGAATGTTCGAGCAGCTTTCAAAGTATGAAATTGGTTTACTCTTGCAATCGTTATGCTAGTATGTGTAGTTATAGAGTAGTGTTTAATCATACTAGTCTATATTCATAGGTTTTACTGCATTTTACTTAAATACAAGAGCTAAGTAAGCAAGCAAGAAGGAGAGGCTAGAAAAGGCAAGGGTCGATAGTTCTTAACCAATTCTTCCTCGCCGAGCTTTAAAAAGTTTTAAGAGAGAATAGGGAGTAAGGCAATGCAATTGTAGAAATCGGACTCGGACTTTTTTTCTTCTCCTGTAGAGCTCTGATAAAGTCACCGGTGGCAGGTTAGAACAGTTCTCTAGTCTAGGTTATGAAAAAAAAAAAGAAAGGTAGTTGACTTAGTGCTTGCATTAAGGTAGTTTACTTGCTTATTCAAGAGAGTAAGGTAGAACTACTCTTGCTTAGTGCTTGCAAAGCATTGAAGGGTGGACGAGAACAAGAAGCGTTCGCCAACTTTAATAGACATAGCATTACAAGCAAATATAGCAGAGAGCTTACTGTTTGTTTTATTTGAGTCACGAGCTTGATGTAGTCAATCCTAAAGGGAGAATCTTGCTACTTGTTATATCACCGCGTCCTTGCATGACTCGAATTTCTTTTCGAAATACCTTTCCCCTCCTCCTCCTCCCCCCGTTATATCGTCCGAACACGGCCGTATATGGAGTACAGCCAAGTGGTAAGGCATCGGTTTTTGGTATCGGCATGCAAAGGTTCAAATCCTTTTACTCCAAATTATGAACAGCCGATCGGATCTGTCAAGAACGAGCTAGCTGACGACTAAAGGGGAAGCTTTTTCCAAGCTAGAAACCCGAGCCCAGCTTGTAGCAAGCCAATTTTACTTTTTTCTACTTTCTTTGCTAAGAGAAGAGAGAGAAAGGAAAGACAGATGGCATAAAGCAATCCTTCCAACCAGCCAACTCGTGGAATTGAACACAATACTAACTTCACCGAGGTTCTTCCAGAAATATCCTTGCCCTTGCTTAACTCCTTGTTCCGTTAATCGGTCGCTAGTTGATCTGATCGGACTCCGGGCACGCGAAAGCCCAGCCCGGGAGGAATGCATGGTTCCCTAGCGCTTCATGGGACGAAGCCCGAGGCTCCCTCTCCCTCTAATCTAACCCTTTGCTTTGCTCCGTGCTGTCTCCCTCTACTTGCCAGCCATAAAGACTTTTTTCTTGCTTGCCTTTCTTACAAGTGTAAACATACACCATAAAAAAAGGATATGCAATTGACATTTTTTAGTGCTTGGAAAGCATTAAGGAAAGAAATCTACCCTTACTTTTAGCCTTCTCAGATAATGGAAAAGAAGCTTAAAATGGCTTAGGCTTTATCACATGCTTTCAAACAGGTTTGAGATATTAAAAAACTGCTTTATTGCTAGATGGATTAGAACTATTGTTTCGGGGTTTTCTGATGTCCTGCGGGAGAGTTACAATTCCGAGACTGGAACCGGACGCCTGTACCTGCAAAATAACGGAGACTCCTGGTGGTGGGAGCTCCGCCTCCAACGGTCAAGTTAATACTTGATTAAGGAGTAATTAATGCGGAAATTAAAGTGATTGGGTCTCTCTAGGTGAGAGTGTTTAATGTAGGTAATCTGCTTTGTTAGCGAGATCAGCCGGTTATTACTGTGTGTAATTAATGTGTTTTTTCGTAATCCCCCTTAATGAGGATTAAGGGAGGTATTTATAACCTTGGGAAACGTGCCCATCCTAGGTTTAGGTTAACCTAGGGCTGATTGGGCTTCCCTCGGAAGTTGGGCCTGGGTGGTCGGTTTCTCCATTAGGCATGGAGTATGCCACATGTCATGACATAATAGGTCCAAGGTGGACGAATAAGCGCGTGCCACGTGGCAAGCCCTGACAGTTCCAACTGGGGGACACTTGGCAGGACCTGATTGGCCCATGTGGCGCATTCCGATTGGTGGGAGCAAAATCCCCTAATCATTTGCCCCTCACAGGTGGCACGTGACTGGTCACGTGTTACCTGTGACAGGTGTCGCACTGTAACAGGCGACGACCTTCTACAGGTGTCAGTCGGCGAAAGGACGAGAGATTTTCCCGCCCAAATTTTGAATTCTGAAAGTGACCCTTCGCCTTCTCACTTCGCCTATATAAGGGAGGATTGTCTTGAGTCATTTTCACACTTGAGAACTTTGAGAGAGAACATTCGGACCCCTGAACTTGCTCTGACATTTTGGACCTTTTCTGCCTACCGCCTGTTCTGACAAGCCGATTGCACAGGATTTTCAGCACTTCATCAATCGTCACTCGTTCAGGTAACTGTCGGTTCTCTTACTCTTAATTTTCTTTTTATTTTTTGAAATGGCACCACAGAAGCACACGACACGACCTAGGTTAGTGATCAGCTGGTCACCGGGGACGGCTGAATCTAGGACTAGGAGTGCCGCCTGCCCTTTTCCGGACCCATCTTTGCCCTTTATACAAAGTCCGACTGTATCTGTGTCTATGCAGAGCAGGATGGCCAGAACGAAAAAGACTGCTAGGATCTCAAATTCAGACGGCTCCTCCCACAGGGTGCCGCTTAGTGAAACATCTGACCAGGCGCCAGATGTGGAAATGAAACAAGGCGGCCTGAAAGCCGGCAATTCTGTGGGAGGAGTCATAGTGACCCCTTCCCATTTAACAGTTAACAATTCTGCTCCTTTTCAAAGAGAGGAGGCGGGCCCCTCCGGGAGAGGGGAGGAGTCGTCCTCTTCGGACTCGTCAGAGGACGATTCCGAGTCAAGCTCTTCTGGCCATGCTTCTTTGGACACAGAAGAGAAAAACAGCCGCCTGCAAGAGGCGAGACTTTCTCACGCAGTTGAGAAGGGGGACAATTGGGCGGAGCCATCCGCCTCTTACCGAGAGCTAAATACCCCCTATTACTGCACGGTACCTCGGGGCCGGATCACAGCCATGCAAGAGAAAGTGGAGAGCTTTATTGCAAACCACACCATGGGCCCCGACTTTCTAGTGTTTGTGCCGGATCCAGAAGACACAGTCGTCTGGCCGGCTGGTACCAGTTATGATAGCGCCTGCTTTGGCTGCTACGAGGCGGCCATCAAGGAAGGGCTGCGCTTCCCATTACATCCGGCTGTTCAGCGGATCTTGGATGGGTATGAGTTGGGGTTATGGCAGTTAGCCCCAAACTCCTGGGTCAACGTACTCGGCTATGTGGCCGGGTGCGAACTGCACGGGGTGGAGCCGAGCTTCGAGGCTTTCGCCCATATGAACTATCTCAGCCGGACCCCTAAGGCAGGCGGTACCGGCTGGTATCAATTGACAAGCCACAAGGGCTACCTCATGACGAGAGGTAAAGCAAACAAGTGGAAGGACTGGCGGAGCACCTTCCTCATCATTGAGAGTTCAGACACTGAGCTAAACAAGCGCTTCAATAGGTGGAACAGGAATCTGCCCCTTCTTGCAGGCGGCCGTAGCATGCCGCCTGTTCCCCCCAAGGCTAAGAAAGAGATCCTTGATAAAGGACTCTTTAAAGTAGAGTCGAGGGTCGACTCTACTTCAGGGGTACGGGAGCAAGTACCCCTGCACTACGTCCCGAGCTTCAAATGGCTCTACGACGAGTACTTTTAGGCCGCCTGTGGCCTCAGCAGTCGGTGCTCAAGAGGTAGTCGGCCTGTCGAATACTCTGTTGTTCCATACATTTCTTGTTATGACTTTTATTAACTTTGCTGTTTGTTTTTGCAGCTGACGCCATGAGCAAAATCACCGCCTCCAAGACTGCGGCGGCCATGTTGCGGGCCTCCATCATGCAACAAGCTTCAACCGACTCCCCCAAGAAGGGGTCACCCTTGGTGAGCTCCGAACCTTTCACCCTCTTTTTGGAGTTGTGTTTATGCATATACTGACTTTTTTTTTTTTTTAGACGGGTGCTCCAAGAGCTTCATCTTCCCAACAGCCAGACCCCAAGGCCCGGAGGACGACTGTTGCGAGCTCTCCTGGTTCTGCGAGGAAACATGTGGCGGCTGAGAAACAGCCGGCCAATTCTTCTAAAACTCCAACTGGGCCGCCTAGAAGTATGAAGTTGTCCTTGTAAATTTTAGACTCGCTCCCTTTTTTACTAGGTCTAATCCGTTTGTTTATGCTTGATGCAGCCGGCCCTCAGGAGCCTGACTTGGTAGAGATGGCCAAGTCTATGATCAGGGCAGTTCCTCCAGCTGAAAGGGAGGCGGTTAGGGGTGTCGGCACCCTTGACCTAGACGGGATTGCAGGGGTCCTTGCTGAGGTATACTTAGCATATTTTTGAGTATTTGAATTTCTGGACGCCTGTTTTCTTTTTTGTTTGGAAACTGACGCCTGTTTCTTCTTACTTAGGCCCTGCTCCGAGTGAACGGCCTTCGCAAGCCGCTTGACCGGAAGAACAAAGAGGTAAAGGCAGCAAAAGCTATGGCCGCCTCCAACTGTGATAAGGCAATGTTTCAAATTGCCCAAAATGAAGTTCTGACCATTGATATTCTTTATTATCAGGCGCAGGCTACCGCCGCTGTTCGAGCTCAGTTAGAGGCAGCCCAGAAGAGGAATGGCGAGCTGGAGGCGACCATCACCAATCTCAAGGCCGAGCTGAAACCTCTTCGCCTAAAGATGTACTCATACGAAGCCTTGGAGAAATCCTTGGCCAACGTAAAAGAACGCCTGGTGACCCAAGAGAAGAGTCTTACCCAAGAGCTCTCGGAAAAGGCCGAGCAAGAGAAGAAAGAGCTGGTCCGGGAGATGATGGAAGACTCCGCTCAAATCCAGCGCATGACTTGGGGCCGCCTCTTCCCTAATGTCGACTTTGCCTCATGGGAAAAAACGTACCTCCAGTGTTCGGATACATATAATCAAGAGATCCTGGCGGCTGCTGAGGAAGATGCGTTGGAGGAAGCGTTGGAGGAGGAGGAGCCGGTAGTGGCGCTTGTGCCGCTTGGGGGTAATGCATCAAAAAAGGATGCAGCTGAAGCCGAGTCCAGCAAGAAGAGTGCTGACCAGGCGGCAGCTGCTAATATTGAA